TTCCTTTGTCTGAAACGTGCCTACACAGAGTACTGACTAAAAGAAAAGTTTGCTGAGCATATTCATTGTTAAAGACTGCAGAGCAATGCTTAAGCTTCTTATGAGAAGTAACTGTTTTCAAATACCCTAAGCTCTTTAGAAAAATTACCAGGTCAGTTACAAATCCATTTTACCTCTTCACTGAGACAAGTGACTAAAGGACCACCTCCAGGGAAGTATTGAGCAATTTGTAGCAATTTGAGTTTGAGTAAAATTCTCTCAGAGCTCTCATGCCTGGGAACACAGGAAGCAGTGTGTGTATATATATATACATACATATGTGTATATGTGTGTGTGTGTGTGTGTGTGTGTATATGTTTGAGATGGGGAAGGAAATGGCTTCCTTGGGTTTGGTGATGAGATCCAGGGGATATAGACAGGGGACATAGGTCAGTTTAGTGCCTAGGGAGCAGAACTACTTAGGGCACGGGGCTGTGGTACAGGTGTCCTATGGATCTTGAGAATCCATACCTTCCCAAGCCATCCTTTTTTTTTTTTTTTTTCAACCCACCAAGTTGGATTTCATTGGCAGACAGCCATTTGCTGATGCTTTTCTTAAATACTGAATTAGGAAATGCCAAATTAGGAAATGCCTAGGAGCAGTGTGACAAGGTGATGAGCTCATTACGGGCTCAGGGGTATGGCAACAAGATCTAAAAGATGAACTGGAAAATGGGCCCATTGAAAAGAACCCAGAACTTTGGGCAAGGGAATGGAACCATAGACACATCAACAGAAGGTGTGATGAGGTTGTCATGGAAGGATCCATGGCTCTAGAGATGCAAGGTACCCAGGGCTTAGGGCGATCATTCGGTTAAAAATGGCTCATGCAAACATTTAAGGGCTGGCAGTGCCTGACAGAGAGCTGGTTAAGTGGACTAATGAGATGCACTTATTTAGAGTAAGTAATGGAAGGAAATTTAAGCAGTGCATGTGCACTCACAGGACTGAAGGCAAGGGCGGTTGAAAGGGTCTAATGAGAGGCAGAATGAGAGGAGGAGAGGATGGAAAGCTCCCTTGGGTCTCAGGTGTGATGACTCAGATGCACACGGCAAGGTGGAAGATATTTGATTTGAAAGGATGAAGGACCAGAGGGGCATAACCCAACAAGCAGTCAAGGAAGCACAATGCAGAGAAGAGAGCAATAAAATGGCCAGGGCTGTAATTACTGTCTCAGAGAAGGCAGCAATGTCTCCAAGTCTTTGAGCCACAGCTTATATAAGGATAAACAACCCTTCCCTCCTCTTCTTTCCTTCTCATAGTCAGTGGCAGAGAAAATGAGCTACTGTTTGGTGTGAGCATTTGAGTTTAGGTTTCTTCATGTGGGCCAGGTATGAGGGCAACTGGGAAATACGCTTGTCTGGTTACTATGGTGATTCCAGAAGTTCCTGGGAGATTCAGGCAAGTAGATGGAGCTGAATTTGCAAGTTGGTGACATGAATTCAACAGTCTCAGCCTGGAAGCAAGTGTCTGTCTCTGTATCCCATGAGGCCATTATGGTCACCAGCTTAGGGCCTCACCCAGGGCCTCTTCAACTGTCACCTCAAGCTCTGCTTTCCTTAGCAGCACTGCCATTCAAACTGTCAGCTCCCCACTCCCCCCGCAAGTCACCAGGGTCAACCTTTGCTAATCTGACACATGATCTCGTAATTACTGGTGGTGAATGAGTTCTGGATTTATCTAGGTACATAGGCTTTCAAATAATCAAGTGCAGAAAGTTCTAGGCAAAGGAAGGCCAAATCACTGTTTTAGTAAAAAGAAGAGGGAAAAATCCCCAATCTAATTAATTAGAGTTTAAGCAATTTTCCATAGGCAGGTGCTATGTCGTGATGCTCAGGCATGCAGACAATGACTTCAATGTCTATTTTCCTCATTACTGATGCTGGTCCTCTAGCCTCTAAAACTTCCTTCTCGAGAAGCATGGTCTCGTGGTCACCTAGAAATCTACATTTTAATACTAGCTATTCCTGTTCAATCACAGCTGGGGGATGTGATTTGTGCCTAATGAACTGCCCAGGAACTTATGAGGCAAGTTTGGGTTACTGCTCTAAAACAGAAAGCCAAGGGCATGAGGCCAAGGGGGATCTCAGCTCTCCCCAATTCTTCAGGCCCACTCAGCTCTTAACACTTGACACACCAGGACAATAAAATCTGTCACGCGAGATGGAGAAGGGAGGACTTTTTTTGTTTGTTTATTATGGTCTCTAGTACACCTGGCAACAGTTGACTTAACACCAATGTTTTGCTAACAGATGAGACTTGAGCTCTAGCCTCTTTCACCAAACTATGTTCCTATACTCAGGTCACTGGTTATGTTTTGTTCTTAATGGGAAAAGTATCCACTATTAGGTGGCAACATGCTTGTAATCCCACATCTCATGTTAGCAACGTCCAAGTATTTACTGGTGGTGGTCTGACAGTGTGTCATTCCTGCACTGGAATCTGTTTTATTCATCCAGAGAAGCAGAAGCTGAGGGATGCTGGAACATTGCACTGAGACAGGAATCTGGCTTTAGATCATCCTACCTTTAGCTAGAAGCAAAAGGATTACATTTGTTTCATCTCTTTCCTTGCCTCCTGAATTACCATTTTTTAATCCCCATCCTAAGGAGCTGGTAACTCCACCCAGCTATCACCTGCAGCAGACTCTGAGCCTGGCCCATGGACCTCTCCAGTCCACTGAGGGACGAGAATCCTCCATCTATCAATGCAGGCCAATGGCATCTGTCCTGAAGAACTCCTAATCCATGTCAAACCCTTCAGAAGCATGGTATAAACCTTTCAAGCCATGTTTAGAAGCAGTCTAAACAGAGCTTCTCAGCCTGTCAATCAAAATATTGTGGCATCCATTCTCATCCTACGTTCTAATTCTAGAATTTGCCAAACTGTCGAACCAAACAAACAAACAAAAATCACCCAAAAAAACAAAACCTCCTGTTAGTTCTCAATTAGCTGCACCATTGGAGAGGAACGTGATGTGGCGGATTAAAAAAAAAAAAAAAAGGTTCTGCTTGACTTTAGAATACATTGATTTTTTTTTCCAGTAGATTAACTTTTCCAATTATATTTTTGCATAGCCTAATATTAACAGGCAATTCTATTCCCTGAGCACACAACAACTTCCTCTGAGAACTCGGGTGTGTAGTAAGCAGTACACAAGTGTGCAGGTCTCAGGGAATGATAACACTGTTAGCTAAGACCTACATGTGGAAAAGGAAGAGGAAACCAAGTCACAAACAGTAAAGCAAAATGGGAACTCTCCATGGACATGCAAGCAAGCATATTAAAATGCTGGAAGACCATCTTTCAAGACTCATCTTTAGTGTTAACGGAGCTCAATGAAAAATAGGGCGCAGCAAGGAAGGTCAGTGAGTTACTGGGTGGTCTTTCAAGGAAGAAAACACTAGGCAAACAACACCAACACATTTTACAAGAGAGTTTAAAATGAATTTTATTGTTTGATTTTACAAGTAGTCTTTAGAGGCTTCAAACAAGAACTCTGTTGCAAAACTCTAATAAATAGCTTGCCCCAAGTCCCAGAAGAAAATGGGAAACAAAATGAAAACAAAACTCAGAGGGGTAAGCAAGACACAGAGTGTGTGGATGATAGCAGTGCTTCTCATTTACAAAGGATTTCAGGCAATGCATAATCTCCTTCATACAGGTTAGAGAGGGACAGACAGGTTGAAATCTTTACAAAGTACTCTGAAATCTTCCTACTTCCATGATAGAAATGCCAACAACAGCATCAACAACAAAAATCCCATGGAGAAATCACAATTATAAATGAAACGGTAGCAGAAAAATCTGGCGGAAGGTTAAGTGCGGGGGTGGGAGGGAGCCCTCCTGTTCTCAGGAATGGAGTACAAACCAGTTGAGATTACTTAGGACGGAGACTTCTAAGCACAAACCACTAAGTTGGCTGAACATTCCCTTAGATCAGCGTCACCACTGAAGGGGCAGAGGGGCCAGTTTAGTGACAATTATGAAGGCATGAAATAAAAGAGTCTTCTCAATTCAGTCAACACTGGCTGGCCCCCCGAGTCTTCATGCTCTGCAGGGGTGAGGCCCAGGGCCCCAGAACAGCCTGCATCACTAGACAGGGAAAACAGCACATTAATAATTTCTGCAGCAGAGTCCTTTGGATGGCCACAAAAGGATGCAGAAAATGCCGTGCTTAAATTTCACACTGGAGCATGCAGATTCCAAAAGCTCATTCTATTACAGTCATTGCTCCCAAGGACCAAGCATTAAAATTCATGGTCTCACATTCACTGTTGATTTCTCCTAGAGAAGTTATTTATTTAGTCATTTTGAGAAGCAATGTTGCTACATCTTTTAAAATCTCTAACAACTACTATATACTTTTGACCAAAATGCATTCAATGTGTATACAGGTAAGGTTCTAGTTTGGCAGAATTTGGAAACCAATTAATGCTTGGAGCCAGGACTCTGTAAGAGAGGTTGATTCCAATTTAGTGGGGTTTATTTAAGCCAAACTAAAAAGAGCCCCTAGAAAGAACAGGCAGAAGGTGACATCAGGGTTTGGGGTCAGAAGGGGGTATGGCCTGCAGGCCTGGCAATATGGTGCCTCTCTGGGTTACTGGCTGGCTATTGTGAATGTCTCCAATCCTGCTGGGCTCTGGTGATAGGTCAAACAGTCCCAGCTCATATACAAGGGAGGTGGGACTTTTCTCAAAGATGCCCTCTCTGGTGTTAGGAAAGAAGATAAAGAAAGAACCCTCCTACTCCCCAAATAAATGATTTTAAAAAAATGTTTATTTCTCTAGGACAATGATATTTTGCAGGATAACAGGGAAAGCTTGGGTTACCTGAAGTAGATCAGAAAGCTGATGGAAATACAGGCAGATGGGCCAGGAGGGACCTGATCCTAGGCCCAGTTTCTTTTTATACATAACAGATAAAGATATTGTGCAAAAAAATAAAGACATTCACATTTTAGCAGTTAAACTTTTATTTTACTTTTTAAAATTTTTATTTACTTTTTTGTTTTGCTTTTCTACAAAAGGCAGATAATGATTGTGGATCTGCAGTTGTGTTGTGCACTCCCCAGAAGGGGGCAAAGTGGGAAGCTGGGAAGATGCTCTGAGAATGCTTTCGAAGGCATGAACGAGGGGCTTCAGGAGACCACCAGAGGGCGCGCCACCCCCTCTCCCCTCAGCAGCCCTAGCTCATATCTATGGTATTGAAGACCCACTCTGTGAACTTCTTCAGCTTGTCAGAGGCGTTCTGTGACTCCTCCTGCAACCTCAGGTTGTCCTCCCGCAAGTGCTGCACTTCAGCCTGAAGGTGGGCTTTGTCTTCTTTTTCCTGGGAGGTAAAGTAAGGCAGAATCAAACTAGGAGGGCTGATATTACCTTGCCCAGCCTTCAGGAGGAGTAGCTATCAATCCCTTCGATGAGCCCATTTCCATTCTTCATTCCACAAAACACCTGCCTACATGGCCTGGTCCCGGAGGCACAGCCGCTCTAAGCCCAGGGCCTCTAAACAGATTTACTACTACAGGATTAGCTCAGCATGTGAACAATTAGTATGTATTTGTTAAGAAGGGCTGTCTTGAATTTTAGGCCATTTTTTTTTGGTGGCTGCTGTCTTGATGAAGTCAGAGGTACTAAAGAAACAAAAGTGTCCACTGCTCCTATGCAAAAGCCTGAACAACAATGCCAAGGTAGGTGGGAATGACACATTACACAGAGGCTGGCAAGGCCACAAGAGGGTCTAGATAGGCCTGACTGAGCTTCAAAGGCATTCGTAAAGGAGGGAACAATTACTCTGTATGTGCAACAATGAAGGTCTCTGCACATTGTGTGTCAGCGGGAGTGGAGCTCCACACAACCCCCTGGACTCATGGACAGGACAACTGCATAAGGAAAAAGCCCACACCTGGCTCTACTAACACATTGACAGTAATAGTCAAGACAGAGTGTTTCCAGACTGGGAATTAAGAGAATGTGTACCTTCTTCAGATCTTCTCGAAGCATCTTCAGCATACCTTCCAACTGGTCCACTTTAGAAGCCAGAGTGGGAGAGGAATCCTTACTGCGGGAACAAGAGACAAAAGGCCATGCTGGCAAGTGCCGCCATAGCTGGGGTGGTGCTCTCCTTTAAAAACCTGAGGAGGCTGTATTTGTAACATGGATTGCAATGTCAAATTACTCAGTATGGCAACTTCATGTGCATCTCTACTTTAAAAGAGAAAAATGGTGATCTTAACAAAAGATAATACAGGATTGAACAGCAGTCAATCAATGGTTTCCTTTGTTAAGGATGACACATCTTCTGACAAAAGACTGCTTGACTATGAGCAAGAAAGGTCTCTGGAAGCACAAGAGGTATTTTCTGGCAGCAGCAACAGTCACACAGTGCAATGATTCCTCAGATCTCTTCTATGAGCTTGGTGCTTTGTGTAGGAGAGAGTTCAGGCAGAATCTGCTTGTGGCCACCAGGACAGGCAGGTCTCTGAGTCCCAAAACAATGGTCTGTAACCACTCTTGCGCCTGTAGCTATGCTTCTATACTCATGTCTACAACACTAGTCTATATACCTCCAAATATTAAAAAAAATAACATTACATGTTTCAAAAGTTTAATGCCTTTAATTGTGTGCTATTACAATTGGCACCAGGCTTAACTGAGTTTTATTTAAGTGCTATTCAGACTAGTGGGGTCTCAAAGGAGGTGCAGGAGGCTGGAAGGCCAAGCAGACCACAGACCAGGAGTGCTTCCACAATCCAGACCCTCGGCTGCAGACCTCTGTCAACTCTTTATCTCCCCCTCACACCTGAATTTGAGCTGTTAAAAATTTCCTGCACAAATTCTAGCCATATGCATGACTTTAGATTCTTTCACAGAGAACTTGAAATTTTCATTGGGAAAATGTGTAGCTGCCCTCTTCCAGAGCCCAAAGAAAAGAGGTGGTGAGCCCAAAGAAGAAAGGTGGTGACCCCAAATTGTCTCAATCATGGGATAATAGGTATTTTTAAAAGAAATTCTTTACTTCAAAAACCAAAGTTCAAGTTAGAATTCCTGATGTGAAGTGAACTGTGCTGATGCCTTTTGCAAATTCTTAGTCTATAACAGATAAGGCCCATGTGGCCTGAAGTAAGGGCAGGCACCTGGCAAATGAATGATAATGACTTCTGAACTTTTAAGACAAGACAACCAAGAGATAACAATGAGTGGCTTTTAACTGGGAAGAGGTGGCTGCCATCCATGATGTGGAAACAGGCTGGTCATACCTGGATGGGGGAAAGCCAGAGATGTGGCAGAATGGGAGCAGAAACAATGGCGTGTGGGGACAAGGTGCCCAAGGGCCTGCCAGGCCTGACAAAATGCTCAGGCACTGGTCTTGTAAAGCTTCTTCAAAATGAATTCTGTGTCCGAGTGCACTGACAGTATGTTAAAGCACATTCGACCCCAGCTGCATTTGCTCAGTCCACTCTGAACGCGGAGTCCAACTCACCCTCATCCTAAGATTCTAAGACAACAGTCTCTCCCCCAAGAAAAGTGTGACTACTTCTCTTTATTGGAAATGTTATCCTGAGAAGGTCCATTCTGGACTCTGCTTTGACTCTCAATAACCAAACTGCTGCTCTGCTCACCTTTGTTATCCTAGTGGTGAAAGAGAATGAGGCATCTCTGTTACATTCACAATGCACGGGAAATCACGTGTGCTTTTCTCTTCTAAGCGCACGCCCCTGTAAGTTTGTTGAGAAGTCTTCAAACCTTAGTCCCATAGTCCATCAGTGTGACCACAGCAACCTTCCTTTTCCTATTATTGTCTGCTTTGACCACATTTAATAGATGTCTACCTTCTTTGTTTTTATTTTGTTTTATCTTATGAGACATGGCCAACTCTATATAGCTCAGGTGGGTCTTGAATGTATGGTCAGGATTATAGGTCTGCATCAATTACACCTAGCTTACATCCCTGGATTCTTAATCGTCCTCAGATGGTTTTAAAGAGAGAGATTTCAAACTGATGGGATTATTCTGTATGTTCCACGGCTGACCACTGGGTGCTTTCATATACAGAAATATAACACATCTAGCTTGTAACTTCACCATTTTAAACTAAGAGGAAAACATGAAACACAGTTTCTGCAGTTAAATGGTGGTCATCAAGTCCAGGCTTTCTATCCACAGAAAACCTGCTGAGCCTCCCGCCCTTGCTCATTCGCTTGGTGTGTTACGCGTCTCTCAGGCATATATATATAACACAGGGACTCTGAGGTGCATGCTATGATGTGGACATATTTACAGCATGGCCACAATGGCAGTTGGGGAAGTGATTAACAAGCCAGATTCCAGGACTAAATTGTACAGGGCCCAGGGACATTTAATACTAATCATTTCTCTTGCAATTACGCCCCCAGAAACAAATGATGGATATCCTACAATTTTGATTTCATAATTCAATAGTGAGAGATATTCATGATTTTGACCTTAAGTCATCCAAGAACAGTTTGTGTTTGCAGTACTCTGTTAGAGGGCGTTCTGACTAAAAAGTAAAGAGGCATCACCGCCAGGACGAGCCTCATTCGGCAAAACCTTGTGTCATCCATCTCCTCTGTTGCATCCGTTGCTCTTGGGGTGATATGCAGGGCAGAGTGGGGCCTTACAACTGTTGACCAACCTGCTGTATGCCTTCATCTGCACCAGAGCCTGTTCATCAAGCTGGTCACTGTTGGACGCCGCACTCAGGGGGCGATGGTTTTCATCACTAGCAGCAAAAAATGAGGCTCTCTGGACTGCAAGGGAGAGGAGAAAACAACTGAATGTTCTGGAACTGCATCCTTGGGGCCTGTCTCCCAAAACTCAATGAATGGCCTACCTGACTAGTACATTCTAATCAAAGTCCCGGGACATACCGGTGATCTTATTTCCTAACCCTCACAGGGAGAAATATTATTCTTTTGGTTATAAAGGACCATAACATGGTAACTTCCTTTCATAAACTAGTTGCTATGAATCAGTTTTAGTCTATTCTCTCCCTGGTTATCTTATTTCCTAACTCTCACAGGGAGAAATATTATTCTTTTGGTTATAAAGGAGAGTAACATGGTAACTTCCTTTCATAAACTAGTTGCTATGAGTCAGTTTTAGTCTATTCTCTCCCTGTTCATCAAAGTAGCTATTAACTAATGTTTCCCTGGAAAGAGGCCTTGTGCTAAATTTTGGACCAAAGCTCTTCACTCAGTGATGATGCCTGTGTACTGAAGTCTTAACCCTTCCTTAAGTGTGTTTCCCACAAGATGCCTGGCCACTCTATGGCCCAATAAGGACTCCTTGAAACCATGAAGTAACCACGTGGCTTTCAGGGAAGCATGAGGAGGGGATGGGGATAGGAAGGCTCGAAGAGGTGGCCTTTAGCCCAAGTCCCTACTTTCTGTATTACAAATTCCTTCCTAAAATCCTTCTCAGATTAACCAACAATTTGAGAAATCAAGTTAATACTTGGGAATTTCCATTAGCTAAATAAACACAAAGGAGGCAAGAGAATTCACTGTCCACTGCTCCCTGGTTGCTGGACTGCTGACTTCTGAAGCCTAGGAATTTCATCCCCAACCTGAAACTTGACAGAATAGCAACATTCAATTCTCTCAAGTAAGATTAATAACCACACCTCCCCCAATTATTTGCTATCATGATTTTATAAGGGATATTTTTAGTACCGAATGTTTTGGAATGATAAGAACAAAACCAGTCTTTATTCAAAGAATAATAATTGGCAACCTTATGTCAAAAAAATTCACTGCTTGTAGTTTTTTTCATTTTAGCAAACTAGGACCACGCCCATCTGAGGCCTTGCATTATAGAACCTCTAGCCTAAAGCTAGTACAGAGTCAGAAGGCTGCTGGCACAGGAACAACACAGTCAGCAGGTATGCTACTGCACTAAACATGAAGGGCCAAGAAAGCATCCCACATCTATCCAGACTGGTCACAACCAAGTAGGTCAAGCATCCTGATATCCCCAACTGTGTGCTTTGCAATGCTAACTTTGTGAAACATGAGAATTTACATTCTTATATGAATGCTGGAATGCTTTACCCTCTCTAGCTATGGGAGAAGAGAGGTATCCATGCATAGATTCCTGGGTAGAAGAAATACTAGGTTCCATCCTGAGCTGGGGAGACCATGTGCTCAGCCAGGGTGTTGCCCTACTGAGCACTCAGTAACTGTTAGCCCCACTGGGCCCCAGCTGTGCAGGTGAAGTGTGCTCAGGATGGCAGAGTAGACAGATTTGATCTCACTCTTTGCAAATGACAACATGGTGCTGCAGGTTCCTGAGCCATACTATCTGGATCATCAGTGGACAGACTCACCCTCATAGGCTTTGGCAGCATCTACCAAGTTGGACCAGTCCAAATCTGCGGCAGTGTCAGGCAGGGGCATCAAGCCAGGGTCAGGCATGGGCTGCCTTCGTGTCTCCTGGATGTCGGTGAGGGAGCTGTCTGAGGCCGAGAACTCCCCTGCACCAGGGGATAAAAGATAGGATAGTTAGTGCTTGTGCCCACAGTAGAACTACTTAAGACCTTACCCATTTCCCATAATGATTGATTTGTAAGCTATCTGTTGCTGGCTAGTTGTTGCTGGCATTTGTTGTAGTCTAGTAGGTTATTAGTGACCATTCTAAAGCTAACCTGAAATAAGAATTGACTTCTCTGTCTCTCCTCATTTTAAAAATAACTTCCCATCATCTCGCTCCTGGGAGTGAGTCATGAGAATGTAAATTTTGCACCCAGACAAAAGACAGTAGTTCTGCTTTGCAGGAGCCGTCTGTTTTCAGTTGGGTCTAGGGCAGCGCTACTCTTTGAGTTTCCCCTCCTGAAGTCAAGGGATTCAGGCTAGGAAGACACCTATTCCAAGAGACAGCCAGCCCAAGGATGCTTACTACTGTTAGGAGACAGCTGAGTCTTTCATTTTTGTTTGTGCCAGTGCTGGGCACTGTCACTGAGCTTTGTTGCTCAAGGCTAGTGCTCTATCACTTGAGTCAGCTCTACTTCCAACTTAAAAAAAAAAATTTTTTTGGGGGGGGGGTAGGAGTTAACTGGAGATAAAGAGTCTCATGGACTTTCTTGCCTGGGCTGGCTTCAAATGTGATCATCAAATCTCAGCCTCCTGAGTAGTTAGGATTATAAGTGTAAGCCAGCAGTGTGGCTAGTTGGGCTTACTATATTTTTATCTGGACTAGGAACCTGGATCTGACCGCAGTCTCCATAGGCTCTCTTCCTGAGACTGGAGAGGTCCAGTGCTCTGTGCCCTCAGAGTATCATGGCCCCCACAGCCAGACTAATGCAGGTAGTATGAGAAACAAATCCCAATATGTGGGACTGCTAGGTGACCAAAGGAGGCCCACAAGGAGGCTTTTGGATTGATACCTGTATCACTTTCCTTCCCAAGATCTGGGGCATCACACAAACAAACTCCTTGGTTATGGTGGTTTTCTTTCTAAGGGTGACAGTTAGTTGCACACGAGTACTCCATCTCTATAGCAGTGGACATAACAACCTTAAGCTGTCTGGGCAGAGAGGAACACACACTGGAGCCAGTTTGTGCCACCTGAGGGCACATTGCCACTGCTCATGTTTATGGAGGCAGACAACAGAAAGGAAAAAGGAAAGGCTGCAGGGGCAGGAGGGCACAGCTCAAGAGGCAGAAGCTGGGATGGAACCATGGCCGAGTGTGCAATTCCATGAGAAGGACATCTCAGAACGTGACTGTAAGTCCACCAAACGCACAGCTCAAAGTAGAACTTATACTTAAAAAAAATCTATATGGCTCTACAAGTACCTGTTTATAAGGGGTTAAAAAGTTTTCATCTCTTATGCCAGCTTGGTAAGCTAGAGTATATTTAGTGCTTGTTTTCCCTTTCAAATTACGTAAAGAACTGCTCTGAAGTGCAGCTGCTAGTTATTAATGTGCTTAAAATTAGAAAAATTATGAGTAAATGGAAGGCAGCAAATACTGGCAGATATTAAATGCTCATTCCTATTTAAACTTGCTCCCACCAAGGGTAAGTAGGTGGCACAGACAATTTTGTGTGTCACTCACAACCCTCTGCCCTTTTATCTCTGGGACCCAAATTCCCATATAAGGGGAAGAAACAAAACAAAACAAAATGCTTTTTCATCCCCCAAGTATTTCAGTGGTAGTCACTAAAGGAGCCAAGGGCAGAGAGATCAGCCCAACAAGGATTGCTTGAAATCATGAAATCACCCCAGCTGCCATGTGGCTTTCAGAGAAGCCAGAGGATAGGGTGGGAAGGCTGGAAGAGGTGGCCTGTGCCTTCCCTTCCTGCTCCCAGCACTCTGCAGGCTCACTCAGCCTTGACCCCCAGGCTGCCAGTGACCTGGGAGAAATCTGGGAGCCAGATTTCCAGGCTGTTCTCTTGGAACGTGAGCTTCTTGGAAGAAAGGGCCCACTGTGATAATGGGCATGAAGACAGGGTGCACACAGGGCTTTTTATTGTTTAAAAAAAGGAATGGAATAGTATCCAAGTAAAACTGCAGGAGTAATGGGATTCAGCACAAAGTGGGAGGGACATGTTCAGTTACCATCAGGAGGCTTATTCTAGAGTCCAATGGCAGGAAGTGATCATTTCATGTGTGCATTTTGACTTACTGGGAATGACTTTCTGTAGCAAAGGAAAGCGAGACTTGTTCATATATAGGTGGAAGAGGGACAGAGGAAGACAGCACCATGCTGAGTGTGTCTGCAGGGGTGAGAGGGAGAGGGGGACTGTGCTGCCAAGCAGTGTGGAGATAGGAAGACATATTTAAGAGCGTGGGTGCTCAAGAATGCTGCAGGGCAAACAGCAGGCTTAGAAAATACAGCTTCTGAAAAGGAGAATAAATGTACATCTGAATAAACAAAAGAGAAAAGCTACAGCAGAATTCACAGAAGGAAAAAAAGATGGGAGTTAAGCGTTAGAGCATGGTGTGATTCAACAGGTGTGTGCTGGGCTAAGCCAGGGAAACTGCCAAGTGGATCTGCACATGATAAAGGAAAAGACTAAAACTTAAACCTAAAGTCCCCAAAACATGGTCATTAATGAACTGGAACCTAGTTAGGTCTCTGAGCAAACATAGCATAGATGAGCAAGGTACCCATTTCCTTAACTAATAATGCTGGATGAAGGGATGAATCTTCAGATGGGTGGCTGACCCTGTAGGCAATATTGTCACAGCCTGGGAAAGACAGAAGACAATGGCAGGTCTGGCTTATAGGAGGCTGGGAATAGTTCTGAAAAATAATCTAGTGTTTCCATGTCTACTCAGTCCCAGCAGGAGCTGGGATGTTGTTATTACAAACTTCCAGACTATTCCTTTGGAGATTCAACTTCAGCAGGTCTTGGGTGAGGCCTAGGAATCTGTTTTAAACAGGCATACCGGGTGACTGATGTGGGACAAAAGGGCTCACAGAAGGGAAGGGTAGGTGCATGGAGCGGGAAGCCCTCCACTGACCACCTGCAGTGGCAGGCACACTTACCATGCAATGACTTCATTCCTAAGGTGTATGACGGCCTCCGCAGTGGCAGGGACTTGGGGAGAGATGGGTACGTGCTGCTGAAAAGGACATCATTGGGCAGCGCTTGGTCCAGAAATGAAGCCCTTGAGGTGAAGAAGTGCTCCCTCTGGCTGCTGTAAATGCTCTCGTCTGACAGTGTCCTGTGCAAAGCTCGCCGCGAGATAGGCGTTGGGGGAAAAGGAGACTGAGGGGAGGACAGTGCATGGAACTGGAAAACAGGGGAGACAAGCAGGCATCAGTGTCTGGCTTAGAAACTCTAGAGCAAGGTTGGGGTGGGAGGGGTCATGTGGCCACTGTTCTAGATGAGCCCCTTCCAATTATGGGGCTCTCATCTATTTCCCCATCCTTAAGAAGTGGAATTGCCAGTTGTTACTTCATTCCTTGGCTGCTGGAGTGTGGCATGGCAGGGTCCATCTGTAACTCAGACTTAGAACTTAGTGGATTTTATCAATATTATATGCAGTGGATAAGAGCAAGACTTAGGGTCAGAAAAATGTTTTATTTGAATCCTCTTTGACCAAATCATGTAATCTCTCTGGGCTTGATTTCTCAGCTATAAAACAAGAGCACAACAGCTGGCAGGATTACCATAAGTTTTAAGTGGAGTTCTGGCTGACCACAATACTGTTCATCAGAGGTGGCAAAAAACATTTTGTATAGATACACAAATAAATTAACTAAAATGTGGTATATACAGGGGAAGATCCTAATGATGTGACTCCTTTGGACAACTAACTTAGTTTAACGAAACAAATACCAGGAAGCTGAAATGTGTTGTTGAAAGTGGGGGGGGGGAAGGGCAGATAATTGGAGAGAGGAAAGGTGGGCAGTTGTTATATTCAATGGAAGGGTGGGCAGTTATTATATTCAATGTACACAGGTAAACATGGAGCCAGGCAACTTGAGCAGATGAGTGTCATTGGAGAGATGGGGGAGAACAATGGAAAAGGTAACAACAATCAAGATGCACTATACTCTCACATAAACTGACATGCTGAAATGAAATTCTTTGTACAACAACTTGTCAGAGCCACCCAGCAGGGAGAGCAGCCTCGTAAGTTGTCAAGTGATAACGTGCTTGCTGGTAACAGAGACATTTGATTATCAAAATAAAATAACTTGAACAATAGATGACTCAATAAGAATTAATTATGAAGTTACACTAATTGAACCTCTCAAGACAGAAACTTTCAGTCCTCCTTCCTCAGCCTCCGGAGTACTGGGATTACAGACAGAAATCACGGTGCCTGGATTCTATGTATGAAGTAACACAGAAATCAGTCTTATCAATGACAAATATTTAAACCAAAATGACAAATAGTGGGCTGGGAAGGTGGCTCAGTGGTAGAGTGCTTGCCTTGCATGCATGAGGCCCTGGGTTCGATTCCTCAGCACCACATAAGCAAGAAAAAAGCTAGAAGTGGCGCTGTGGCTCAAGTGGTAGAGCGCTAGCCTTGAGCTGAAGAACTGAGGGACAGCATCCAGGCCCATGACCAGAACCAAAAAACAAAATGACAAATAGTTCCAGACAGGTTTCTTGTGGATAAGTTCTGACTTTGGTGACCAAATCAGATTTCAGTTGAGATTTTTTCCACAAGAAGCAAAACTTTGAGAATCCTTTTAACTGAGAAACAGCAGACACAAACTGCAACCTAGAGACCAGCATGTCCTGTCCTGTGAACACTCAAGTTATCCCTCCTCAGGTTCAGGTCCTCATGGGCTGTTGTTCACACTGATGGGAAACAACAGGGGGTGAAGATGGGAAGAGGAGCAGAGTCACTGTTGGCAGGAAGACACTAGGGTACTTTCCACCACAGTGAGAATGCAGAGTGACTGAAAACGGCTCTCCTATAATACAAATCCAGAAACCTAGAGCTAGGTCCTTGCATTTTTACGTTTAATAAGCCATGGGTTAATCAAGACAAAGATACCACCACACAAGAGGCAGAGCTTCTGCACACACCATTCATTAGGCACAGGGTAAAGAAGTCCAAGGCCAAAACCAACTGGGGAAAAAAAAGTTTACTTTTTTTAATATTTTGTACTAGTCCCAGGGGCTTGAACTCAGAGTCTGGGTGATGTCCCTTTAGCTTTTTGCTCAAGGCTAGTACTAGTACTTTACACTACTCTACTCTACTTGAATCACACCTTTATTTCTGGATTTTTGGTAGCTAATTGCAGATAAGGTCAATCTTTAAACTACCATCCTCAGATCTCAGCCTCCTAGTAGCTAGGATTACAGGTGTTTGTCTCTGGTGCCTGGTCCAAGCATGTTTACTTTTAAAAATCCAAGCCTAGTTCAGCCAGGTCCATGAGATGCTCATGAGGAAGTCCAGCTGCTGCAGCGAGTGCTCTGCAGGAGAATCTGGTTTGGTGCGGAGGTGGCAATTTCCTCCCTCACCTATGAGAAGAAGCACCTATGAGAAGAAGAGGCTAACTGGTTTTCTGATTATAGTTTTTTGTGGTTTTGAAAATTAGATCACCTCTGCTGCCTTCTAGGACTATCTCAGAAAGCTTCTGCCTGCCAAGCCCAACCTCTAGAGCTTAGACCTATGTCTTCAAAACCTGTTACTAAATCTTATTTTTGCTCTTTTTGGGAAATAGTAATAGACTTCAAGATCCTCTGGGTGGCATGCTTTACTTGAAGCTGTAGCATCCTGTACCACAGGCAGGCAGGTTGGGAATAGAAGGACGCAACCTTCCCAGAGCTCCTATCTTACACAAAAATGCTGGTGTGGCACCTCACCTCCTCCCTCCTCAATTCCTAGTCTCAAAGGTGTGCAATCCTACCCGGTTTTCCAGAACACCCTGACTGCTTTGTCAAACCATATGCCATTCACTATTCTCTTGCCAAACTGTGCTCAGGAAGGAAGGTGTCCCTTCCCACCCCTCCCCAGCCCTCCTAGATTGTGGTGATGGATGCTCTGTCACTGTTTTCCAGGCAGAGCTCAGGGCAGCTGCTTGGATACTCTGGGCTCCAGCCTGTCCAGTAGAGTACTGTCATGTCCTGCAATAGGGAGTCCTGTTACTGGCAGATGAGCCTTGAAATGACAGACAATAGCTCAGACAATAGCAATGGTCATCCTAGAAAGCCACTGTAAGTCACAAGTATCATGGCCCTAAGCTGGCCTCTACCAGTAACTTGAAGCCTGCCACAGTGGTTTGGGTCTTTGAGCCAGGAGTAGCCTGGGAGACTTCTTCAGGCATGCTCCCTGACAAAGCAAAAACCCGGTCATTTAGATGATGGCTCTCAGAAGACACATGGAGTTACTTAGCTAGACTCATCTGAAACTAAATCAACTCAAGGAGAAGGGAACAAACCAAAGAGAGCCAGCACATTCCCAGCTCTTGCTCTCAGCTAGCCCCTTGCAGTAGGCTAGAGCCAGCAGACATACTTTCTTTGTAGAGGGTCTCATGTTAACAGAGTCAACAGAACAACAAAGTGCACCCCTGACTCAAATAGAAATGTCAAATTCATTTTGAAATTGAAAGCCAAGGCCTACAATAAGGGCAAAATAGACATTTGCCTTCAATTATTTCCACTGCATGAATAAATCAAAAAAAATGAGAGCTCTTAATTTGTTTGTTCTTTGCCAAAATGTTCAAGTAGCAATTAGTGGAAAGATCCTTTCCTGGGCAAGTTTTATTTCCTCTGACCTCAAAGAAAAATATCTGTAATAATTTTTATTTTGAAACTGATACTTAAAATTTTTAATATACTTCTTTGGGTTTTGATGGATAAAGAAGTTTCTAGCAAAATCTTCTGCAAGGTTACTAAGGAAACCATTTGTACCCTGGATGATGAATCACAACTGCTAAGTGCTGGCTTCTGAAACAGAAATGACAGAAGAATGGCTGCATCTATAAAACAAGTTGGTAATATAGTAAATCATGTTAATAAATCATTTGTTTTCCAGAGTGGTCCTTCAGAGTGGACCACTTCAGAGTGGTCCTTGGGACACAGTGAATTCCTGCAAATGTCGATTTTTTGAGTTTAGGAGGTTTATCTGACCAACATGGGAAAAACATGCATAGGTGTGTATGCATACATATAGACACACACACAAATGCACAACATGGGCTGTGAAAGCCTAGAAGTGCCAAGAACACATGGCACCTCCTGCCTGGTATACCTCTCTCCTCTGCTCAGCAAGAAGCGGTGAGGGGGAGGGATTGTAGCTTCCATTTTCAATCCATTCTCCAAGTACTTATGAAATTAAAGCTTTCCAGACCCTTCAGACGGAATTTAAATTATTGAACTAAGGAAACTTTAGATGAATGCTGGTGACCCCTATCTATAATCCTAGCTAATTGGAAGGCTGAGATTGAGCAGATCGAAGTCCAAGGCTAGTGTGGGCAGAAAAGTTGACCTCTTCTTAATCAATAGCTGGGAAGAGTGTTATGGGCCTGTCATTCCAACAAGTAGACAGATTATAGTCCAGACACGTGTCTGGAACTTATCATATAGGAAGGATCATCCTTAGCAGAAATCAAGATTTTTCTTCAAAAATAACCAGTGCAAAGAAGGCCTGGAGGTGTATTTCAGCTGTATGTAGAGTACTTTCCTAACAAGTAGGAGGCTCTGAGTTCAAACACCAGTGTCCCCACCCTCATCCCAAACCAAACAAACAAACAAACAAAACCTCACTCTGTGATCCAAAACAAGTCTGGAACGGATACATGAATACAAATACTAAACCAGTACTCAGGGCTAGTAGAGGAGAAGACAGGACTTTAGGAAAGTTATGAAGCATCAAGAATTCTGAGGGAAATAGAGAAAAGGTTTAAGAACAGAGATCTGAAATGTTCAAAAGACACTGATGAAGACTGGGTTTGCTAGACTGAAGAGGTCCGTCTCTTTTTGGAATGGTATGCTGTGATTAGCCACTAGGCAGGTCTGCTGGTTCCTGGGGAGCACACACCCTGTGTGGCCAGCAGGTGAGCTGGGGGCTTCTGTGAGAGCAGGATGAGGAACCCTCTAGAGGTAGAAGGCACTGAAGGCCTTGTGGAAGGGGCAGAATTCTGTGAAGCAATGTCATATGAGGACCAAGGACCATGAACCTTAAGTAGGACACATTAGAAGAAGCAACAGCTGTGGGGCAGGGGCAGGTTAATAGGCACCAAGAGTGAAGAGACTGAGTGGGGAGAGCACTGTGAAAAATCACCAGAAAACTGGGTGAGGTTAGGAAGGAGGATCAAGTGAAGAGGAGCTAATAACCAGTGCCCCCTGGAGGGTAGAACTTTGACCTACAGTTCCATCATGGCTAATTGCTTTTTTTTTTTTTTATTGTGAAAATACTGTACAGAGGGGTTACAACTACATGGGCAAGATAATGAGTACATTTCTTATCAAGCATTGTAGCCTCCTCCTTTGTTTCCCCTTCCCATCCCTTCCCATCCTCCTCCTGCCCCCCACCCAATCCTCCCCCCTATAGGGATACAGGTGGACCCATTGCAATAATGGGATGTACAAGTCGTTATGTCGAAAAATGAACTTTACAACTCTAATTGCTTTTTATCCTAAGCCCTTTCCTGTACCTTAAAATTCTTCTGTGATTCAGAAGTTGGGCTTTCAAGGTCGATGAGTTTTTTTAGATCCTCTTCAATGGTGGACTTGGAGGTTGGTTTGGGGGATGCCCGGAGGTCCCGGGTTGAGGCACGCAGCCTAGTGTGGGATATCTCATTGCCATCACTCTGATGACGCCTGGGAAGGAAGGGAAGATATGGGGAAAACCAAAGGCATGACAGGCTGTAGAGGAGGGGAGTCAACAGACATATGTTAAAGAAGAGAACGACTTCTGTTTACATCACAATCCACCCAGTTACATGTTAACCGAATCCTACTGAAACATGAAATAAAGTCTGATGAGCAAATCATTCTTCATAGGAAACTATTAGTTCTGCTGTGCCAAAATTAGCACCATGCTTACTAGAGAAGTATGAATTTAAAACTTAACCCTCATAAAACCAAAACAACTAAAAGAACCACTTAACTTTTGGCTATACTGTGTCAAAAAGTCCTTTATCCTCTTGTATACTCTCTCATTTTCTAATATTGAACCCAGACTGTGCTCCCAGCCTTTGTGAGGAGGTAGGAGGATAAGGATATATGAGGCCAGCCTGGGCTATAGAGCAGGTTCCAGGCTGGCCTGGGAGATACAGTGAAACTGTCTTATGTTAAGGTAGAGACGGATAGAATCAGAGGCTCTAGAAGCAGTCTTAGCACCAGAGGCTCAATTATTCTGAAGTGTGCCCTTCAGACATACTGTTTCCTCAGGGAGCCAAGAGTCTCAGATCCAAATGTTCTGCAGTAAATCTTCAGGGAATAAGGGAGAGAAACAATTTAAGAAAAGTTTATTTGGGAAAGAAAAATAATCCTTCCACTAAACCAATGCCTCCAAACCCCATAGCCTGACTTTGTTCTTTGTAAGATACTGTCCAAACCCTTTCTGTTCTGTGCCATCTTGAAAGCAAATCACTCAGCAAGAGAAGTAAAAGAACTCTTACTTTCTTGTGTCCATAAATCCCACGGAGTTAATAGTTCCTTCGGGTTTTTTCCATCCAATCAGGTACTTGCTGGTAGCTCCCTGACGGGGGTAGAATGTTCTAGGACCAGAGGAAGAGGAGGAGGAGGAAGAGAAGGAAGGTGCAAGCTGTGAGGAGGCGGCAGGATGAAGTTCTTCTTTAGGTGAACTTCTGGCACTGGAGAAAACAACTGGGCTGGCAGAGTGCCGGGAGCTCATGGTACTAAGGAGAGGCAGAACAAAGACAAAAGGTCTTAAGTGTGCATCTCAGGGTCTCTATGTCAGCTACAGAGCTGATATCCAGGGTGGGTGTGATGCCCAGCTTAAAGAGTAGTGAATGTTTCATAAAGTATTAATGGAGATGACTGGCTGGCCTTCTTGTGTTCTCAGTAGAATTCAAGAGTCTGCTCTTAAAGTCGCAAATGGTCACTGGGGTTTAGTTAGTACTTTTTTTTTTTTTTTTTTGTCGGTCGTGGGGCTTGAACTCTGGGCCTGGGCGCTGTCCCTCAGCTCTTCAGCTCAAGGCCAGCGCTCTACCACTTGAGCTACAGCGCCACTTCCGGTTTTCTGGTGGTTTATTGGAGATAGGAGTCTCACTGTCTTTCCTGCCCAGGCTGGCTTTGAACCTCGATCCTCAGATCTCAGCCTCCTGAGTAGCTAGGATTACAGGCGTGAGCCAACGGCGCCCGGCTAGTTTGTACTTTTAGATTTAGAGGTAAAAACAGTTAAGACTGTCACATTGGTACCACTAAAGTTGGTTCACACTTAAGTCTAGAAGAGGCAAGTGACATGAGAGAAGATCAGGGGAAAGCCTGGCAGGGTCACTGGCAATGTGTTTTGTTTTCTTAGAAGGAACCCTGGTGATTTTTTCTAAGGCCAAGGTAAGAAAAAGGGAAGACAGTGAGGGACATAGCTCTTCCCTCACACCCAGGGCTAAGGGGTGCACCGAGCTCTCCTTCCCCAGGGAATCTGGCTTTAATATGAACTCGAAAAAGCTGTTTTATAACAAAGCAAATTTAAAACTATGATGAAGGCAGAATTTTCCAAAACTGGGGATGAGAGAGTAGCTACAATGGCCTCTAACTGCAGGACCTCCAGAGGTCCCACAGACCCACGGTCACACTTTTTTTTTGGACTCTACTTTGGACTCTGCTTAGGAGTCCAAGGACAGGTGATTCCTATGGCAGTGAACTTTCTGTTGCTTGAGGTTTCAGAGCACACGGTCAATGGCAGTTCCATTTGTCAAAATCTGATGAGCCACAGCTAAATAAATATGGACTTCAGTTAATGCATCAATATTGACTGCTTGGCTATGTCCTACACGAATATGAAAGGAGGAGAAGCCAGGGGGGCTGAGGAGTGCATGGGAATTCTACACTATTTCTGAAACTTTTCTGTAATCTGAAACTATTTGAGTATTTAAAAATGTATGATAAAACACAGATTTTTAATTGTCCCTAGATACTATATATTGGTGAGAACATAAAACCAATTCTAGCTGGATTATATATTTAAGCTATACATCAAAAGATTCTGAACTATAATACAAAAGAAGATCTTCACAAGAGATGCACGGGTTTCTTTAACAGGACCATAAAGGAAAAGACTAAAGACATTAAAGTTAAGAGCTGTTCATGAAAGGACACAAACTACGAGAATATACACACGGTATTTCCAACAATAGGGTCCCAGAAGGAAAATGAAAAGCAGTTTGAAAAACTTACTCAAAAGAGGACATTTAGCCAGGCTCCAGTGGCTCACACCTGTAATCCTCACTACTCAGTAGGACTGATATCTGAAGATCATGGTTCAAAGTTAGTCCTGGCAGGAAAGTCAGTGAGACTTTTATCCTCCAATAAATTACAAAAAAAAAAAAAAGACCAGGAGCAGATCTGTGGATCCAGTGGGAAAGCATTAGTCTTGAGCAAAAGAAGCTCAAGGAGGGGCTGGGAAGGTGACTTAGTGGTAGAGCGCTTTCCTTGCATGCATGAGGCCCTGGGTTCGATTCCTCAGCACCACATAAGCAAAAAGAAAAAAAGCCAGAAGTGGTACTGTGGCTCAAGTGGTAGAGTGCTAGCCTTGAGCTGAAGGACAGTGCCCAGGCCCAGAGTTCAGGGCCCACAACCGGAACCCCCCCCCCAAAAAAAAGCTCAAGGATAGCATTCAGGTCCTGAGTTCAAGCCCCAGGACTGGGGGGAAAAAAGAGTGTATTTAAAAGATAAAAATAAAAGAGACATAAACACTGGTACTCAACATCCCCAGTTACCAATACAAATTAAAATCATGAGGAACCACTCACATCTACCAGAATGGCAAAATTAGAGTTCTAATATCAAGTGCCAGAAAGGATGTGAAGCACCTAGAACTATGCTGTGTGGAGTATTCCTTGTCATAACCATTTTGGCAAGCTGATTCACAGTTTCTACTAAAGCTGAACATAATGTATATCCTTTGACATAGAAAGTGCTCTCCTGCCAATTCAAAAGAAATGCACACAGAGTTGTAACAAAGAACATGCTCAAGAAGTTGTAATATCCCCCAAATGGAAACAATCCAAATGTCCAACAATAGGATGCAGAATTCGGTTGAGGAATGTCCTAACCGTTCTATGCCTCCATCAGAAAGAATGATATTGCCCCATTTGTTAGGAAATGGAAAGACTTGGAAAAAATTATATTAAGTGAAGTAAGCAAGGCCCAAAGAAACATAGGTCCAATGGTTTCCCTTATTTGCAATAACTAGTATATGTCTGAGTCAAGCAGAAAAGGTCACATAAGTTGATGTTAGGGAAATGAATCCCAAGATAAGTATTCAAATGTTTTTTTTTCTTTCATGAGATTGTTTCTAACATATTTATAAGATGATTTCTTTGTTGCTTTGTATGTCCCTCCCCCACGGTATAACCCCTGCTTTCACTGTATTTGAGGTTGGTATAATTTGTGGAGGGGAAGGGAAAAAACAAATTGTTTAAATAGGGATACAGGTGGACCTATTCCAACAATGAAATGTACAAATCGTTATGTCAAAAAACAAACTTTACAACTTTGGTGGTGGGGGGAAGATCAGGTAGGGGGGTGGGGGGTATGCGAAGGAATGGGAAGAGGAAACAAAGGAGCAGGCAACAATGCTTGATAAGAAATGTAATGATTATCTTGCACATGTAATTGTAACCCCTCTGTATGGTATTTTCACAATAAAAAAAAATCCAGCAAAGGATACAAACCAATGCTACTTGCATACATGGGTATATCTGAGCCAATATAATGCTGACTACAGCTGACTACAGCTGTTATGGCTCGATTTTATAAAGCCTCCTAATGGACAAAATTCATCTGAATTTCTAATTCAGGGTTGTGTTTACCCTGAGGAAATATTAATAAGGAAGGAATGGGGACATATGTAGCACATGGATGCTGGTAATATCTTTTTGATGTGGATAGTGATCATGTGGAGCTGTATACCCATGTGCTTTTTCCTGTATGGATGTTACCCTTTCATGAAATATGCACCGAATAAGCAAGTCAATAATCTGAAAGGAGTAGATCTCATCAGTCCTTGAGGCTCAGCCAATGGAGTGGAACAAGATGAGGGGAAAATAGGAAACTAAGCAAGGCTCATCTGGTGGGCTTTCCATATGAACTAGATCTTATTACTTCGGATCAAATAGAACAATCCTCTTTATAAGTAAGAAGGAAGAACTGGATTTAAACCTTATAAAAAATATAGTAATAAATGCTTAGCTTTACTCTGGTATCTCCCCCGCCCCCCAACCAGGTATTTTCCAGATAAAGAGAATGGAAGAAACCTCATAAAATCTCAAGCATAAACAAACTGAAAAACAATGAAACCATACCTCTTGATAACAAGTATCAATTTTAAGGAAATGCAATGTAAACTTGTTCCAAATTAAATCAATATTAGATAAATAATACATAATAATACTAGATATCTGCTATGGTATGGAGATTAAAAGTAGAAAGGTGAAAGAAAAGAAAAAAGGAAGTGAGTAAAAACACAAAGGCTGATAAGCTCATTAAGACCATGACACCAGAGGCCAAGATTACTAACAGCACACATTCATGGAGGGAGCAATGACAAAGATGCTTCCACAATGTAAGAGAACAGCCTTTGGCATACTTTCAAACAGTATGACAGGCTTGTGACTGTTTGTTACCAGGGGAGATGACATAGTCTTCGGTTTGCAGATTTCCCTTGACTTTACTATGTCTACACCTCACATATACTTACAACACAGAAATCTCAATTCTCAAGCCTGGATGGAATTTGAAGCAGATTCTGGTAAATGGAAAAGCAATGATCTATTATCATCTAGCTTACACATCTTTCATCTTGTATAATCATGTGTATATTTTAACAACTTACCATGTCTCATATGCACTCTTTTGAGAGCAGGCAGGTTTGAATTACTAAAGCCAGTTCTCAAACTTGAGCAAGATTGCTGCTACCCTCCAGAAATTCTGAAATAGTAGGTGGGATGGGTTTAGGGAGCATGAGAATTCTTGCTTCTGATGTATTCCCATAGGATGCAATGGTCCCTCACCCATACATTGAAAACCACTGTATTTGAGGTACATTTGAATTCCCACATTTTAATTGAACAATATCAATCTTGATATGGTAACCTACTATGATAATAGTGGGTTAATAACTCTGAGGATTTCAAAGACTAATGGTTGAATCAAAGTAGAAATAATTGGCTAGGTATGGTGGCTCATGCCTACAATACCAGCTACTCAGGAGATGGAGACCGGGAAAGTCATGATGGCACATATCTGTTATCCCAGCTCTGTGTGAAGCATAAATAGGAACGTGGTCGTCTAACCCAGTCCAGGAATAAATCCAAACCCTATTCAAAAAATATGTAAAACAAAAAGATCTGGAGGCATAACTCCAATAGTAGAGCACCTATCTAGAAAGTCTAACACTGTGAATAAAAATAAACCCCACAAAAACCAAGCAGATTCTAAATCAGGAAGTGTGGGATTATCATCAAGGCCATCAAGTTCAGATGGCCTGGCCCTGGCAACAACTGAAAGACCTTACCTGAAAAATAACTAAGGTGAAAAGGGTTTGGGTCATACTTCATGTGGTAGAACACCTGCCTTGCACACTCTGAGGCTCTGAGTTCAAACCCCAGTATGCTCCACCAAAAACAAAGCTGGAAGTAATTAGCCTGGAGAGTAGAAAATAAGTTGAGGGTTC